GGGTTAGGATCCTTTCTCAACCCAGAATTTGTCCCCGCTTCCCCAGCCACCCCCAGATTACCACCGCTTTGCAGACACGGCTAGGCTAATAGTTTTGCCAGCCTCCAGCATGAAAAGTCAACCAATACTCAGGAGGTGAGAGGTGCCAGGAGGGGATCAGCCGGAGCTGTGCTCTGCGTCACATCAGAGCGGCAGCGCTTCGCATCCTCACCTTATCGTTTTCTGCTAAGGAGGCCGACTTTGCCTTTTAACTTAGAAAGTGAGCTGTGGGCGGAGGAGCCAGGGTGAAGCAGAGGCACGGCTGCTCCGTGCAATCACTAGAAAACTGCTGATTGTACTCATCTGCAGGGCGGGCAGGAGACAATTTTAGAGCAGAGGCAGGAAGCGAGGAGGATGCTGACAGCAACGTGCAGGGGGCACCGCTCACGCCTTCCAGAAGCACACCAAGAGCTCCGCTTCCGCGCCACCGGGCTGTAAACAATACTAAGGCACATCTAGTCCCCGCAGGCAGGCTCTCAGCACAGCTCCGTGCCCGCAAATTCAAAGGACCTCCATCCCACCGAGTCACTTGTCTGCGTGGCCGGGTTTTCAGAGGGGCTCAGCACCCTGGGGGCTTGTGCAGGGGCCTGCAAGGAGGTGGAGATGCTGCAGAAAAGCTGGCTCTACCAGTGAAGGCTGTGCACTTGGAAATCTGGCCCTACAGGTGGCGAAACGCGTCTCAGAATAAAAGTTGCCCAGCACATCAAAACCAGTTTAATAAATACTAGAGGTAGTGGAACGATTTTTTTTAATAATGCTTTGACAATGAAGAGGCCTGACAGAAACAGAAACCGGAAACACTTTATCATCAACTCTTTGCAAAAGCGTATTTTTCATTCCAGTAGAAGAAACACATCCACTTTCCTTTTTCCATCTTATTAAATATTTCCTAGACAAACTAGCCTGTCTTTGCTCAGCCAAATATCACTACTTGTCTAAATAAAATTCAAAGAAAAACTTCTCTATGTTCACCGTTCTTGATATCAATATTCATTAGATAACAGAAATCATAGAGAGCGTTTGCTCCTATCTGCGAAAAATAAGTTCTTGAACACGTTTCCTCTATTTTGATGTACCTACTTAAAAGAAATCTGAATAAACAGAGATCTAACCCTTATCGTTCAGTGTGTTGTTTAAAGTCTTCTGAGCTGGAGAACTCCTTCAGCTTTCTTAGCAGATGAAAGCAGAGGATTTGGAACCACAGCACACACGCCTGGTTGCTTGTGTGCTTCTTCAGCCTCTCCAGATTATTTTAGACCTCAAATGCTACCACTTACGTCTAGTGATTCCAGAAGGTTATTCCTCCTGTTTGAAATGCATGTATGGGCCAAAGGTATAATAAATTTGTAGAAGCAAAACGATACGCAGTCATCAACAGAAATGAAAACCAAGCGCTTTTCTAGCAGGTAGGGTGCACAAATGCAGGGTTCACCAACGGTTTTCCGAACCGTTCTGCTGCACACAACGGAGCCACAGAGCACGCCTGCACAGAGCTGCAGCACTGCAAGGACTTTAAAAGCCAAATATCCAGGTGTCTGCTCGTTGTGCTTTGCTCTAACTCCTGACTGCAGCAACCAGCCCTGCGCCCTCCTCCTCACATTCTGATGGGACGTGGCAATGCAAAACGTATCAGTACTTACCGTATGAGCTGAGGGAATTCACCTGTGCCAGAACAGCATGGAAACTTACTTTATTTCTGTGCCACGCATGTCTGGGGAGGAGTCTCCAGAGCCTACAGCCTGCAGGCTCCAGGACACAACTGATACGCAATTGCTCAGCGATGCGTAATATTAAAGCAATACTAAGAAAAATGACATTACAGTCATTTCTGTACAATATAAGCTAATACAGGATGCAGGGATTGCTCAAATTCAGCAGAACAGTAAATCAAAATTTCAATTAAAAGTGGATTATGAGTACTTAGGTTTATGGTCTGTCCCAAGCCAAAGACTTAAGCAAGCCCATTTTCCAGACCTTGGCTCTCATTTGTGAAGCCTCTACTTTCTGTTTTGTTTTGTTATTTAAACTTTTCATTTACAGAGCAGTAAGATTTTCATTTTTACAGGGTTTTTTTTCCTTCTGAGGCAGGAACTCGTCTTCACCAAGTCAGCCCCTGCTCTGCCAAACACATGAGCTAACACAAAGGAAAAGTACAATCCTGCCGTATCTCCGCAGCGCGGGAGGAGCCTTACGGCGGTGAAACCATAACACTCTGCTGGAGAGGGCAGCTTGTGCTGGCTGCATGTCACAGAGCCGTACTCCATGGAGACGCTACGGGACCATCCACGGGAGGTGGGATGAATGAGGCCACATGTCCCTGGATCCACTGGCTGTTTTCCCCTAGGGAATGAGGAGAAACAGGAGCTACAGGAAAAAACCACCCTATTGCTCTGCAGTCGGGGTGGGAGCTGCACAGCAAGCCCGTGGCTCTCCCACAGGTTGCACCGTCTGCGTGGACCCACACCCACCCCAGGAGCACGGCCAGCGGGCTCACACAATATTGAGGCTTTCGACCATAGATGGTATTTCGCTTTTGTCCAAATTTTACAGTTGAGCTGCAAAATATACGCCTAATGTGCGTCACACAGCTTTTGAAAGATCCCTCACACAGCCATACCTGTAGAATTACGGTGGGCACTGAAATGTTAGCATTCAGACTGGTCCTAAAGCAGCTTACAGGATACCATCTGGCTCGTGTAAAACCACATCTTACACTTGATGATCACTCTGACATTTGCTTGTCAAAAACCTACACCTTGTACGTTCGTGCGATTTGTTTAAATAAGAGACTTGGACCAAAATAGTGCTCATCTCCTTTACATATTTTTACACTGATAGCACAGTGGTTGTTGACTCAAATATTTTTTTTCGTGAGCTAAACTTTTGTTTTCTCCAATGTCTGGAAACATTAAAAGAATGTTGTGACTGAAATCAAATAAAGCAGAACATCCTAAAATGACTCCTAGAAATACAAGCAGCATAAGTGACTGATTCAGGCATTGTCTATGGTTTCTGAATACACAGCCAACATGACCATATCTATCTTCGAAAGGCACGATGGAAACAACCACCAGCAACATAAGGGCAAAACCTTACAGCTACCACGCAGGCATAGTAAAAACATCCTACACTATTAATTCTGATGATTGCAGAAGCACATTCACTTCTACCACTGTTACAAGAGAGTTTGCAAAGAACGTAAGATGTTCTTCAATTACCTATAGGCAGACATACAAATATATTAAAAGAACGTGAGTGGAGAACTAAATAGGAATGGGGGAAAGGCTTATTTACTACGAATCGCTGCTTCCC